CACTGGGTAGTTTTTTATAACCAAGCGAGCACCTTTTGTGCTGTAGAGCATCTCTATGAAGAGTTCCTGGCAAGATAGGCCACCTTTTATTTTCTGTCTCAATTCCCTGATAATTTATCGAATTCCTTGTATATGCCTGACACTGATCCAAAAGCTTTACTACATTATTAGTGGAAAGGAGGGGAATATAATAATAGTTCCTATTTTTTAGATTCCAGACACTTTTTTTTTTTTTTTTTGAGATAGAGTCTCACTCTTGTCGCCTTGGGTAGCGTACTGTGATATCATAGCTCACAGCAACCTCAAACTCTTAGGCTCAAGGGATCTTTTTGCCGCAGCCTCCTAACTTGCTGAGACTATAGGTGCCTGCCATGACTCCTAGCTGGTGGGTCTTGTTCTTGCTCAGGCTGGTCTTGAGCTCCTGAGCTCAAGTAATCCACCTGGATGCCAGGCACTTTAGGTATCACAACAACCCTATGAATAGAAATTATCCCAGTTTTTCCCAGTAAGGAAACTAAGGATTAGCAAGATTAAATGATTTTTGCCCAGAGTCATAAATAACCCATCTGCTCTGGGCACTTGCTTGTTTCCCTGACAACAGGACAGGTGATGGACTTGTTTATCAATGGGGTGCATCTTTCTTGCCCAGCCAATCATCTTCTCTGGAGAATTTTTTTGAAAAAGAATACATTTCTGGGATCATTCTTACCCAAAGATAGGACTAAAAGATTCTCCTGAGTTTGGCCCCAGGATTCTGGGATTTAAGGTTGGATTATACCTGGGTTACAATTAAGAAAGAGCAGGGAGCTGCAGGAGGCCAAGACTGAAGCTGTTATCCTCTCCTCCCTGCCCTCCTCCAGCCCACTTCCCCATCCAGGGCCACTTCCTGTCCTTCCCCTTCCCACCCCACCCCACTTTAGAATACTTTTATCAGCCAAAGAGAGAAGGAGGTGAAACCAGATGCATTTATGAGGCTGAAAAAACAAAAGATCTGGAAACTTGAATTTTGTTTGCTTATTTAAACTGAAGGTAAGTAATCAAAGCTAAAACAAAATTTTAGGTGGAAATTCTTTAGCAGTTTTGCTAAAGGCTCACCATATTGGGAATGTCTGAGGTGGAAGGAACTTTATTTATTTATTTTTTTGAGACGGAGCCTCAAGCTATCCCCCTGGGTAGAGTGCCTTGGCATCACAGCTCATAGCAACCTCCAACTCCTGGGCTCAAGTGAGTCTCCTGCCTCAGCCTCCCAAGTAGCTGGGACTACAGGCACCTGCCACAATGCCCAGCCATTTTTTGGTTGCAGCCATCATTGTTGTTTGGCAGGCCCGGGCTGGGGATTTGAACCCACCACCTTAGGTGTATGTGGCTGGCGCCTTAGCCGCTTGAGCCACAGGCGCTGAGCCAGGAACTTTAGATATTATCCCCCCTCTACTCCCTCATTTTGCAGGTGAAGAAATATGTCCAGATGAGCTGAACTGCATACAGCTGCATCTATGTTTCTCAGGGAAATAGGCTTCCCCAGATTCCTTCCCCAGGCCTTTCTTGCCTGAGGGAGGTTCTACTGACCAGAAAGAAAAGTAAAATGGAGCTTTCTCAATGCCAATTTCCCGGATCAAACTCAATTTGGGCCAGTTCTGCCCTTCCAGATATAAGAGGCAGAGTTGTAACTGACTCCAACAAAGGAAGCAGGTGGGGGCTGTAGTGAGATAAATTTAGGATCTACAAAAGAGAAAATTCCAGTGAATAGGAATGACTGAACTTCTGAATAGACAGCTGGCTAGGAATGGTAGTGAATTTCCTTTTCCGTTTGAATTTATTTGTTCATTTGTTCTTCTTAGAAGCAAGGAAATGGATTTCAAGATTCCTTCCCATCCCAGGGCCCTTACTGAGTTAGGTAATAGGTAATCTAAAATATAGGTTAAAAAAAAATATCTATAATATAGGTAATATAAAATAAAGGTAAATCTAAAAGGCTCCCCAAATCAACGTTAACTGGAATGAAGCTTTATGAGGGAAAGTTCAGTTGAGCTCCTAACTTCCAGTTTCCTACTCTGATTTGCAGGGATTAGCAGACCATGGGGAAAGGAAGTAGCAGGTGTGGCTTTGGGGGAAACGATGTGCTACTACAATGCTATGGGATGAAAATGGACTCAGAATCTTCTAGAAGAATGGAGAAAGAAGTTGACAGAACCAGGGCAGCAAGGTAGTCTCACTAAATTTAACTCTGCTATATATATTACCTTTTAGTAACAGAGGAGAAGAGGGTTGGTTCTTAAAAAAACAGACAAGATTAGTTCCTCATGTTCTTTGGGATCTCTTAAAAATACAATAGTGACAGACAGCTCTATGCTGCAGGACAGGTCACCGCATATCCCCCTTGTAACCAGAGGGAAAGGACCCCCAGTGAGAACCCATTAACAAAGGCAAAAGACATGCAAAACAAACAAAATAATCATGACAGAGAGAAGGCCTGCAGACAGTCTGGCTCTGTTCTTCCCCCCTCCTGCTGCAGGCACCTCCAGACAATGTAAACAGTTAATTTGTTCACCTGCAGGCTCTGGGCAAACAGAGGCCTGGTCACACCTGAGTGGATAACTCGATTACCCCTGTAATGCCAGCGTGGTAATGTACACAAATTCTATTACACGGCAAACCTTGCTTTCGGGCATTTGAAATACCAATCAGGCCAATGTCCACTCCCTTCTTTGCTTCCAATTTATTCTTGGTGTATTGGAGCTGCACTGAAATGGCACTAGGATGGCGCTGAGTTAGGAATCCAAGAGAAATCACTAGAAGATTGCCATCTCACTCAACAGGGCCTGCAGGCCTCCTGCTCTCTTACAAAAGGTTGGGTCTGAATTTAGTCCTTGTTTAAGGGGCCTGATTCATTGGAACCACTGAGAGGTACCTTGGGTCAGACCTGGACTATTTCCTTAAGAGCTTCAAACCAAGATAAACCCTGGGCTAAGGTAGTAACATTCTAGAATAAAGATAAACAGTACATGATGGGTTAATAACACAATGGGTTTTTAATTTTCCTTTATGGAATCTACATAATTGTGCCTCTTTCAAAAATGTATTTGTAGATATTGACTGACTGCATAAAGAATGGAGTTTTTAATAAGTTCTTTAGGGGCCGGGCACGGTGGCTCACACCTGTAATCTTAGCACTCTGGGAGGCTGAGGCTGGTGACTGCTTGAGATCATTAGTTAGAGACCAACCTGAGCAAAAGTGAGATCCTGTCTCTACTAAAAATATTAAAAACTGAGGCAAGAGGATCGCTTGAGCCCAAGAGTTAGAGGTTGCTGTGAGCTCTAACGCAACGGCACTCTACCCAGGGCGACAGCTTGAGACTCTGTCTCAAAAAAAAAAAAAAAAAGAGTTATTTTAGGGACAGAAACTATTATCTTAGCCTACCTATGTGGAAAGAGTATGTGCGAGCTTTCTTTTTCTTTTTCTTTTTTTTTTTTTTTTGTAGAGATAGAGTCTCACTTTATCACCTTTGGTAAAGTGCTGTTGTGTCACACAGCTCACAGCAACCTCCAGCTCCTGGGCTTAGGTGATTCTCTTGCCTCAGCCTCCTAAGTAGCTGGGACTACAGACGCCCACCACAATGCTTGGCTTTTTGTTGTTGTTGTTGTTGTTGCAGTTCGGCTGGGGCCAGGTTTGAACCCGCCACCCTCAGTATATGGGGCCAGCACCCTACCCACTGAGCCACAGGCACTGCCCTGTGTGATCTTTCTTTACGGATCTTCCAAGCCCCTGAGTTCTGAATCTTCTTCACATAGGTCTGCAATAATCCATCCATCCTTTTTAAAATTTTAACTCAAGCCTTGGTGTAGTGGCTCACACCTGTAATCCTAGTGCTTTGAGAGGCTGAGAGGTGGGAGGATCAATTGAGTTCAGGAGTTTGAGACCAGCCTAAGCAAGAGTGAGTCCCCATCTCCACCAAAAATAGGAAAGTTAGCCAGCTGTTTTGGCAGGTGCCTGTAGTCTCAGTTACCCAGGATGGCTTGAGCCCAGGAGTTTGAGGTTGCAGTGAGCTAGGCTGATGTCATCACACCCTAGCCTGGGTAACAGATTAAGACTCTGTCTCAAAATAAATTTATAAAAATTGGTTTTTTTTGTTGTTGTTGTTAAGACAGAGTCTCACTTTGAGGCCTATGGTAGAGTGCTATGGCATTATAGCTCACAGCAACCTCAAATTCTTAGTCTCAAGTGATCCTCTTGCCTCAGCCTCCTGAGTGGCTGGGACTACAGGTCCAATGCCACAGTGAAACGCTCAGGTATTTTTAGAGACAGAATCTTGCTCTTGCTCAGGCTGGTCTCCACCTCATGAGCTCAGGCAATCTACCTGCCTTGGCCTCCCAGAGTGCTAGGATTATAGGTGTGAGACACCGTGCCTGGCCTTAAAATTTTTTTTAACTCAGTTCGTTTATGATCAACAATAGTATTTATGAAATGATTAGCTGAAGCAAGGGGTTAAATTGTAGCTGAAAGAGAATAAACTTATCTGGCCTGCAAGGGATTGGAATCACCCTCTTTGCCTTATCAGCACTTGCTCACACCAACTGAGCTAACTATCTCTGACTCCTTCCCCCATATGTAATTATGTTACACTTTTGTTTATCTATAAAGGAAATAAGAAGGCAGCTTACCTAGATAGAATGTTTTCAGCAGTATTATATGGTTATAAATTATGTACATAGTAATGGCCTTTAAGCACAGACTCCTGAAAAAGATCAAATTTTAACTGGCCTAATTTTGGTATTATGTCCACTTTATTGCATTTTTAAATCTGAAAACTGGTGTCTGAATCTGGACTTTCAATTAAAAATTTCCCTAACAATTATGAATAAATGGGTGTTTATTCTATATGTGAGGGAATCACGTAATATACACAGAGAAGTGCATGACATGGTATAATTTCAGTTGTGGTGACTATGTCATCGAGTTAAAAATTGATTTTTGACCCAAGCCCCATACTCTTTGTCCTTACCTTACTCAGAATGCGGATGAGGTCACCCCGTTGGAAGGACAGTTCATCTGGCTGGTCACCATGGCAATCCCATAGACCCTGGTAATAACTGGTAGAGTCTACTGATCAAAGAGAGGAGAAATCAAAGTTAAAAGGACTCTGTCTTTTCTGAGGAGCCTACGTTTTTCCTGCAAATGGACCAGGGTTCTGATATTGCCCCTAGGAAACCTAAGATTCAGGAAAGTTGATCTGAGATACAGCCAAACACTCAGTGTGAGCAAAGGACTATGGGAGAAGAAGATCATTAACTAACATTAAATATTTACAGATCACCCCTAGTAGGATGCTGTTCAAAAATATGATAAATATAAGGCAGGTAATTTTTTTTTTTTTAAGA